GTACTGAACTCTCTGCAAGCCTTCCGTTACACCTTGTTTATCCCAATGTGAACTATTGAACTCTCTGCAAGTCATTTGTTACATTTGTTTCTCCCGATGTATGTACTGAACTCTCTGCAAGTCATTTGTTACATTTGTTTCTCCCGATGTACTGAATAAAAGGTGTGGTAAGCTGGGGGCTTTGTTTTTGCTGCCCAGAGCAGCACTGATCAAAACCAAAGTTCAGCTTTTTCTCAGTCTCATTTTTCTACCTTTCCTGTCATTCGCCGTGTGCTGCCGTGGCTCGCAGGAGACCAGGACTCACTGCAGAGGTTCTGGTAACGTCCCCTTCCCCTGTCCCCTACATCACACCTTCTCCAACATCAGAAAGTTCACACTGGTGGCAAACACTATGCACATAAAGAATGGGAAGAGGGTTTCAGATGGGAGTTCCAATCTTACTGACCATCAGAGACCTCACAAGAGGGAAAATCCCTGTCTGTAATGATGTTCAGAGTCTTTGCATTGGGCACACAGCTTACCAATCAGAACTCAAGAACTCAAGATGACTACACACCCTGAATGCGTAACAAACTGCCCCTGTTCTGCTCATCGTTTATCAACAGGTTTAGTCCAACCTTGATTAACACTACAAACTCTAGGAAATCTTTCACCTTCCAAACAGATGGATCCAGGTGCTTAAAAGATCTTTCAACAATCTGTCGTCAACACTGGGAAACACTCAGAAAGGAACCCTAACATCATGTGTGAGGTTGTGTCTTCTCTTCCTGGAGGGACGATGGCACATTGTATCACCAGGTTCTCCTTGTTTTGGGGGCCTCTCTCACATATTTTCCCAAGCCTACAATATTCCCAGATAGTGGTGTGGGTAAGGGGTAATTTAAAGGGGATACTTCCTCATCTGGTATCTTTAACAAGAACAGCTGTATGAGATTTTTAAATTGATTGATCCTCACATTGGAATCTGGATATGCAAGAAAAAGCCCACAACTGTAAAGATTAAGCCTTTAAAGTCTCAAATATGAGTCACTCAGCAAATGGTAGACCATTTTAGTTTCTTTAAATAAGATACAAATTTCAAAGTCTGAAATTGTTTTAAACAAATGTTTCAAAGCTTACATTTTTTTATTAATAAATTTTATTCTATTTTTATCCCATTCCCTCCCTCAAGCTCCCTCCCCTCCCTATGTACAGAAGCTATAAAGAGTACATTTTTATGGCCTCTTATTTCTACTTTTATTTCCAGGATTTATGGTTTACAAAGCTATTATCTCTTTGAGTGTCCTGCTCTTAAACATTGTGTTTATTCATGCCCCAAATGAGATTTTTATCCTATCTTTATATTACATTTTATGTATACTGTTATAATAAGGACAATTTTTGGTAAAATAATAAAGAATAATTTGAAAGTGCAGAGAAGATTGAAATAAAATACCAATTCCCTATGTTCCCACAGCTCAGAGAGACTTAGTAGTCCCTTTGGGGTGTTTTTCTTTCTGGTTGTTTTTAGTCTGGTATCCATATGTTTAATTGTCACAAGTTTTGAATGAAAAATATAAAACGTATAAAAGATCTCAAACATTTTGCCAATTGCTTTCCAAAGGAGCAGAACATCCTCTAGCTATCACAGGCTGTAATTTAGGGCCACCAATGTCATTCATTTAATGTATCATTAAATAGTTGTCAATACCCTGATGCTTTTCAGTTTCACGTAGTTAATATGTTTCCAACCAACATATTAAGCCGCTTCTTGGACATTCTTGTTCTAATTTTTCATTTCTTTATTTTTGCAGTACTGGGGATTGAGCCAGGACCTTCACACTGAACTACGTCCCCAGCCCTTCTTTTTCCTTTTTTCAGTACTGGGGATTCAACCCAGGATAATTACTGACTTTTATAAACGTGGCACGGCATAGCACGGATGAGCACCTGGTCACTGGCCAGGCAAAATTCTGGCAGTGAGGTTCTGGGTGAATGGGAGAGCACGTCTATGACCCTGTACCCGCTGCCGGTGGCTGTCTGTCCAGCAGTTCTGTCAGCTGGCGCTCTGACCAGGCTGTCTCGCCAGCCCTCAATCATGTTATTGTGGGGTGTTTTTCTCATGTTATTGTGGTTTAAAGCCTTTGCCCAGTTATTTTTTCTAACCTTCTGGGATTTCTTTCATGATTGAGATAATCAGACAATACAAAAATGAAGGAAAGCTATGACACCCTGTGAATCCTCATTCCAAAATTCCCAGCCTTTTTCGTATATGACTCTTTTGTTTCTATGTCTTATACACATATTCACACATATATACTTACATGTCTATATGGCATAATCACATGCACATGATTTTAGAAGTTACTGTATCTGGCATAATGTGGATATTTCCCATGACAGTACAAAATACATAGGTGTTATACCTGTTATGCAAAACATTTTAGGGCCGGGGATTTAATGCTCAGTGGTTCTGCCGCCTGCCTCGAAAGCACACGGTCCCAAGTTCGATCCCCAGTACCAAAAAACGGAAACAAAAACATTTTAAACAGCCGCGTAGCTAGGGTTTCTTTATTTATCAAATCCACATTAATGGACATTTATTTCTATTTTCTTTTGTATCAGTAGACATTTGATATGTATCTTTATTTTTGTACCAGGGATTGAACTCGGGACCTTGCGCATGTGAAGCAGCTGCCGGCACCATTGAGGTAAATCCCCAGCCCTTGTATCAGTAGACATTTGACACACATGTAAATATGTCTGTAAGGTGAATTTCAAGTACACTGATGAGATCATAAAATAACCACTTTTTTTTTCAGTACTGGGGATTGAACTCAGGGCCAGAGGTACATTCCAGCCTCTTTTGCTTTGTTTTTGGGACAAGATATCACTAAGTGGTTAAGTTGCTCAGGCTGGCCTTGAACTTGCAGTCCTTCTGCTTCAGCTTCCCAAGTGGTGGGATTACAGACATATGCTACCACCTAGCTAGGATATAATGTACTATCAGTCAAGAACATCAGGCCCAGGGATTTAGCTCAGTGGTTCTACTGGCTGCCTCAGAAGTGCAAGGTCCCGAGTTCAATCCCCAGTACCAAAAAAAAAAAAGAACATCATGCTTGCTTATGGGAGAAAGGGAATTTTTTTTTCAGTACCAGGAATTGAACTCGGGACCTTCACTTGCCAGGCAGGCATGGCACCATAAAGGGAATTTGTTGGCCAATACAATTAAAAAGTTTAACCTCAGGAACAGATGGATCCAGGTGCTTCAGTGACCTGTCAGTAGTGTCCTTTCTCCCAGCTCTGCTTCCATTTTGCAGATTGGTTTTCTGGCAGGTTCTCCCTTTGTGGTGGCAAGGTGCCCACCAGCTCCTTCCTGGTTTATTTCCCATCACCTTGGCAACCCAAACTGAAAGACAACACTTCATCCCTCCTACTACCACATTCCCTCACATAGACTCTGACCACTCCTCACCCCAACAATGCTTCTCCCACACTCCTCTGCCCTGTTTTTTGAGACAGGGTCTCAATGCATAGTTCAGTCTGGCCACGGACTATGTAGCCCATGCTGGCCTCAAACTCATGGTGATCCCCCTGCCTCAGCCTCCTGAATGCTGGGATTACAGGTGTGCACCATCACACCTGGCCCTCCTCTGCATACTTCTGTCTCCACTCCCCCCTGCTGTCCTCTCAACACAGCAGAGGAGTTGCGCTGGAAAGTATGACTTATCACACCACTCTTCCACCCAAAGCTCTCCAGCAGCACCCCACATTCTTCCCAGGAAATGCCAAAACCCTTCTGCCACATCCTGATGGCTTGAAGACCCTCAGAGGGAGAATGGTGGGATGAAGAAAAGACAGATACAAAAAGCTGAGGAGAGGTGGAGCCTTCCTCCTGACTGGAAAAAAGGACTGGTAACTGTACCACATTTATGGACTAGTGATAAGGGAAGTGTAGGGAGAAGTGAAGGGGGTGCCGTCACTGGAACAGGGAGAGCAGCAAAGGTCTGCAGATCATACTTAATGATTTTTTAGCAAATGGAGTGGGGGGAAGGCACATCCTCTTCCTGGCTGGGCCTTGCTCCACCACAGCAGCTTGTTACCTTTTCTCCTCCCATGGGGCTCTGCCGTATCCATGGGAGGAAGTGAGCAAGCTGCATGTTCCTCTCTTGGGGCCCTCCCTCATCCACCGGAGGAGCTTGGTCCTGGGCATAGTGATCTACAGTGCAGCACTCCCAGCACCTTTCAGATGCTGTTTGGACCCTGCCAGGCCTCATGCCAGGCCTCCAACAGTGTCTCACCATTGCTCATTCTGCCCTAATCCAATTGGGCCTCCTTGCTCCTTTCCAAATGCATCAGGCCCTCCCACCTCTGTACCTTTGCTTGGGCTGTTTCCTCTGCTGCATCCTCTTCTTGCAGCTATTCACACTTCTTCCTTTTCACTTTTGCATCTATGCTGAAGTGACCTTCTCAGAAAGGGCTTTCCTGAGCACTTATTTCACATCATCATCTCCTGCTTTGCTATGGTTTGAGTGCATTCGCCCCAAATATATTTTGAAACCGAACCCCTGGTGTGATTAGGTGAGGCCTTTGGGAAGTGAGCAATCTCATGAATGGAATTAGTGCCCCAATAAGAGAACTGAGCTCCCTTGGCCATTCTACCATGTGAGGACACAGCAGGGAGGTGCAATCTATGAACCCTTGCCAGACAGGGAGACCTTGATCTTGGACTTCAGCCACCAGAACTGTAAAACTTCTGTTTATAAGCTACCAAATCTAGTCATTTGCAACAGCAGTCTGACGTAGGATATCCTTACACTCTATAGCCTATTCAGTATTCCTTTTCTCTTCATATCCCTCTTCCCCACTGGCAAGTGAGCGCCTGGCAGCCAGTGACTATGCATGCCCCATCACTGGCCAAGTGTGTGGCATCAGGATGCGAGGAAACAACACTCTTTTTAAGACTCAAAACTTTAATCAGACAGCCAGCTGATATACACACGTGGCAGGTGTTTCTACATTAGTCAATCACAACACAGGTAATGAAAGAGACCACGCCCTAATGGCTGCGAACTTCCTACAGGGCGCTTTTTTTTGGTACCAGGAATTGAACTCAGGACCTTGCACTTGCCAGGTAGGCACAGCACCATTGAGCTACATCCCTGGCCCCCTACAGGGCTTCTGATCTCTATCACTGGTGTCAAAACTCTACTGAACATACTTTCTTTGGAACCGGGGATTGAACTCGGGACCTTGCACTTGTGAGGCAGGCGGCAGAACCACTGAGCTAAATCCCCAGCCCCTGAATATACTTTGTATCAACTTGTTTCTGCCCTGCCAACACTTGGTAGACCTCTTTCATATAAAACATGCCCATCTCCCAGTGCAGAGTTGCAATCAGCCTCTTGAAAACCAGTGCTCAGCACTATAGCATAAGCTCACAGGGTACATAACAAGTTCCCCATTTCAACTACAAAAACAACCGGCAGAACTCAAAGCACAGGGTGAAGATTAAAAAGGCCAAGAATGTAGAGCACCCCAAGTATGGAACATATTAAGTGTCCAAATCCAACATTTTCATAAGCCTGTTCCTTCAGTAAATGTGACTGGGCCAATTCAGTGAGCAGGGCACAAAAGCCCAGAGCTGACAAGGAGCTTGAGGACCTGGTCATGTGGTTCGATGAGGTGTCAGCTAATGGAACAGGTGTGACCAAGATGAACCCAGGGCTTCAATGGGAAGGATGTTCCTCACTGGGCTCTCCAACAATCCCTGGTAGTTCTAGAACTTCCAGGTTGTGAGAGAAGTGGCATTTTAAAGATGTCAATTGCCAACTGACAGCGACCCTCTATGAAAATGTGTCACTTCCCTTCCCGATGCAGCCTCAGAGCCAGGGTTATCATATCAGTATTCCTTCTGGAGCCTAGCAGAACATTTACACTGGATAAACGGTGAACAGTTCTGTAATCACTTCCATGCACCAATTTTCACCACCAGGGATGTCTTCAGTGTAGTCTGAGTTTCAAGTGGCAATATCCAACACAGCTTTCCTAACTGACCCCGTTAGCAGCATCCGTTCATGAATCTCGCTGTTTGCAGTACCATTAACATCCACAGACACAGCTGGTCTCCCACTATATAAGCAATGGCTGAACTGTAGGAATGTTACGAAAGGGCAGGGGGAGTCCTCTGTGAGAAGTCTGGAAGGTCAGTTGAAAGTTTTAGCCTTTCAAGATTAGACATTTACATGTTGCTCTTGGCTTTCTGTGCAACTGTTAAGAGAGCAGAGAGATGGAGGAAAGGAAAAGGCTAAACACGTAAAAAGAGTAAGGTGGTATATGCCCATAATCCCAGCACTCTGGGAGGCTGAGGCAGGACTGCAAGTTCAAGCCCAGCTTGGGCAAATTAAGAGCTTTACCAAGGCCCTGTCTAAAAATTTAAAAATAAAAATAAAAATAAGAAAGGGCCAGGAATGTGCAAAGACTGAGGGTTCATTCCCCAGTACTACACACACACACACACACACAAATAAAGTGCTAAACAAAAACTTGAAAAGACTTAATAGCAGTGCATAATCTCAAGAGCATCAATTGAGGTAAATAGATTAGTAGTTCTCTTTTAATATAAAAGAGTATATTATACAACATTCATAGCTTACACTAGGTGAGCACTTATTACGTGTCAGGCATTGGTTCTAAGTGCTTGACGTTTATTTATTCAACCCTCAAAACAGTGCTGAGCTAGGTGACTAATATACTCATTTTACAGATTTTAGGACACTGAGGCCCTGAGACATTTTAGGACTTTCCCAAGGCCACTTAGGATGGTAGATGACAGGTGGCATATAACTCAGGCTGGCTCCAGAGTCTACCTCTGAATCCCAATGTTACACAGCTTCTCAATTTTTGGGTTTTAATAAAACTCATGTGCAAGCTTTCTAGTCGATCTTCATTAACAGACTTACTAAGCTGGAGAAGAGGAAGCTTGCAATGTGCTGGCTTCAAATCTGACCTTAAGAGGTATGTTTGAATGTCTGGGACTCTGTTGCCACCTAATGGCTGCAGGTAGTATTGCTGCTTGCTACTTTCGAGCATGAACTCGCTGGTGTCGGATGAGAGTGAAAAAGCACTTAAAGGCTTTCTGACAATGTTGACACTGGTAAGGTTTCTCCTGGGTGTGACTTCTCTGGTGCTGAGTGAGATGGGCACTGAAACCAAAGGCTTTGCCACACACACCACAGGCATATGGCTTCTCCCCAGTGTGAATCCTCTCATGCTGAGTTAGATTAGCTCTTTGGGTGAAGGCTTTCCCACATTCGCTGCACAGGTAGGGTTTCTCCCCAGTGTGAACTCTCCGGTGAATAGAAAGGCACGAGCTCTGGCTGAAGGCTTTTCCACAATCCTGACAAAGGTAAGGCTTCTCTCCTGTGTGAACTCTCCGGTGTCGGATGAGTTCAGCATTCATGCCAAAGGCTTTCCCACATTCACCACATTCAAAGGGCTTCTCACCTGTGTGAGTTCTCAGGTGCTTAGAAAAGCATGAACTCTGATGGAACATTTTCCCACATTCGCTACACAAAAAGTGCTTTTTTGTGACATGAGCTTTCTGGTGCTGAACAAGGTAGTTACTCTGTGTGAATACTCGCTCACACTCGTTACATTTGAAGGGCTTCTTTGTAGTGTGAATTAATTGATGTTCTGAGAGATGAGTGCTTTGGCTGAAGGTGTTGCCACATTCGTTACATTTAAAGGGGTGCTCACTTTGGGAAGGCTGATGTCTGGTGAGGGAGGTCCTGAGGACAACTTCCTCATCCTCACCACATTCATGGGGCCTCTTCCCAGAGTGCACTGTCTGATGGCAGAGGAGCTGTGTCCTCTGGCTGAAGGCTTTTCCACACTGGTTGCACTCAAAGACCTGCACCCTGGTGTGAATCTTCTTGTGCTGAGTGAGGTATCTGTTGCGGTTAAATGCTTTTCCACATTTGTCACACTTAAAGTGTTTCTCATCAGGCCTTGGGTGCTCTCTCTGTCCTAGGTTCTGATCCAAAACTTTCCTGGTCCCATCAAATCTTTGCTTTTCTCTGGCATGGACACTCAAGTGGCAGTTCAGGGTTGAGTTGCAAACAAAGCATTCTCCACACTCTAGACACTCATAGGGGGCTTCGATGGTGTGGATTTTCTGGTGTCGCACTAGGTACTCTTTATTACTGAAGGTCTGACTGCATTCAGCACAGCCAAAGAGCCTCTCCATGGCATGAGTGGCCTGGTGTCGAATCAGGTGTGAGGGTCGGCTGAAACTCCGGACACACTCCTGACACTTGTGGGGTCTGCTGCCTGTGTGAACCTGCTGGTGTTCATGAAGGTGAGTTTTCCAGGAGAAGGCTTTGCTGCAATCACTGCATTTGTAAGGTCTCTCTCTGCTATGAACCTTCTGGTGGATCTTCAGGGTAGAGGTGTGGCTGAAGCCTTTCCCACATTCATCACACTTGTAAGGCTTCTCCCCAGTATGAATAGCCTGGTGTTTGATAAGTGACAATCTCCGCTTGAAGGTCTTCCCGCACTCCTGACACTCTGAGGTAGTTTTTACAGCATGAGTTTTCTGATGTTGGATGAAATGTTTCCTCAAGGTGAAGACTGCCTGGCATGTGACACATTCATAGTGCTTCCGAGTGTGTGTTTTCCGGTGCCCAATAAGATGAAGGGCCTGGGTGAAAGTCATGTCACATTTGTTACATTTGTAGGACTTAGGACTTCTGGGAGTTTTCTGATGCTTAATAGGCTCTCCATGATAACTGGATGGACAGTTGCCACCTTGACTCTTACACGGTTTTTCTCTACTGTGAATTTTTTGATGCCGCTGGAGCTGCATATTCTGACTGAAAGTTTTCCCACATTCCTTACATATGTAGGATCTGTAGCCTCTGTGGGTCACAGGACACACACTCAAGTAAGAAGTCAGACTGAAATCTCTCTGGTCCTCTTGATGTTCGGATGGCTCTTCCCTGATGTGGGTGACCCAGTGTTGGATAAGGTCATTACCGTGGCTGAAGCTTTCTTCACACTCACTGCATTTATATGGCTTCTCCTCTCCCAGGACAACATCCTGCTGCCGCTGGTCTGGGCTGTAGGCAAAGTCACTCCTATATTCCTTTGACTCAGCTAGTGTGAGGCTCTTTTCAGTAACACCCGTCACAGAGTCTTCTCCTATGGAAAGGAGGCAAGGACTCAGGTGGCTCAATTCGTGACTGCTGGATTCTGTGGTACTTTCATTATTGGTGACATCATCAGACTTCTGAAGACTTTCTGGATCTCTCTGCAAATTATCTAACCAGCTCTCATCTAGACAGACTTCAAGTCTGGAGTTCCAAGGGTCATCCTTGTAAAACACCTCCATAATTCCCTGGGAGAGTCCTTCTTCCAAGAAATTCTGCTTCAGAGGGGAGTTCTTGGTCTCAGACATGCCTGAAAGAAAAGAGAGTACAAATGTCTCTTGTTCCCTAGACAGAAAGACCAGAGTTGTATGCTGAGAACAGGCACAAGGGAGTAGGGATGATTGTCTTGAGTCTGCCTGTCTGTCAAGGGGATGAAGAAAAAGGAGTCCTGAATGGTGTCCCATCTGGAACTGACATCACAGAAGACAGCCCATTCTCAGAAGGGTTAAGAGGGAAGAAGGGAAACTGCAGCGATTCAACAGAGGGAGAACCTCAGCCATAGCCCTCACACTTACTTGCCTGCTAGTGAGGTAGGAGATTAGGGTGTAGCAAACAAGCTGTGCAGGCTGTGTTTTACCCAGTGTTCCCTGAACTACAGCTGAGTACCAAGCATTCCTGAGCAGCTGGTGAGCTCCTTTTCCACAGCTAAGTAATCCGCAAAGCAAGATCTGCTCTGATCTGACCCACCCTCCTAACTACAAGTTGTATATTCTCTGGACTCCTTCACCATATATGAGTTGCACTGGCCACTCTCCTCCATACCTCTTATCTCCCTTTCCCCACTCTTTCCTCTTGCACCAGCATCACCTGCCTCCAAGTCCCCCTGTCCATCTCCCCTCCCCCTCCCCCAGTACTAGGGATTCAACTCCAGGGCCTTCACGGTGAGCTACAATCCCAGCCCTTTTGGGGTTTTTTTTTTAATTTTATTTTTTCCTTTTGGTTTTTGAGATACGGTCTCACTAAGTTACTTTGTTGTGCAGACTGGCTTGAACTTGTGATCTCCCTGTCTCCACCTTCCAGAGTGGTGGGATTACAGGTTTGTGCCACCACACCTAGCTCCCTGTGCAGTTTCAGGGCTGCCTACCCACTGAGCATGTCAGAGACTGCTCAGTGCCTCAGCCTGGAAGTGAAACTTGCAAACCAAAGCCTTCCAAACAACCCCTCTTGCCCTGCACTGTTACATCTGCCATCTGTTGCTGCTCTTGGCTCCTGGGCATCTTAAGCCTTCTCTGCACCATACCTTTGGTCGTGATGCTCTCGCTTCATGGAGTACATCATCAGACCCCTCTCACAAAGTGGCATTGTATGGAAATTGGATACAAGGATGCATCAGCTAGGGTCTACTCCCCAGAGAAGCATGCTGTTACAACAGGGAGTAAATGATGACAACAAAGCATGATGGCCACTACTAGAGGAGATTGTGTGTGTGTGTGTGTGTGTGTGTGTGTGTGTGTGTGTGTGTGTGTATTTGGTTGACAGTAAAAACATGGCTGCCTATGCTTGGAAATAATCTATAGGTTATGTGGCAGAAACAGAAATCAGGATCAGAGGCTGGGGGAGCATGCGTGTGGGTCTGCTCCCCTCGTGAAACACTGATGCTAAGCATGAGGCTGTAGAGGGCTCCCATTGTTGAGCTCAGATGCTGAGCAAGAGCAGGGCTGCAGGCTGACTAGGTGGGTATGGTCTCTGGTACAACACCCCATCCTCCTAAGGACACTAAACTGATAACAGAGAAGTGTCCCAGACCTGGGCAAGACACCTGCCTCTGCTTTCTTCCCCTGGTGACAATGCCACCAGGGGTAATACTGCAGGAACTGTCACCACCTAGCTGATGACCCAGAAGACGTCTGGCCTGAGAGACAGCAGAGTAGATACTGTGGACAGCCTGCAGCCTGGTGAAAGTCACTCCCAGAGTTGGCCAACTGCTGTGCCCAGCCCAGGAAGTAAGGATTGGTTATATGAAAGTAGGTAAAAGAGGGCACAAGGCAAAGGTGGACAGACTGACTCAGGGAGTGGAAGGCTTCCCCTTGACAAGTCTGGAAGAAAAGAATGGGGGTGGGAGCGGCATCAGGACAGCCAATGCTGAAGGCCCAGGAGAAGTCTAGCCAAGTCCCCATCTCCCAGAATGAAGGGATGGAAGCCAGCGGGTGGCAGAATGAAGCCCAGAGGCCAAATGTGAGGCATCAGGCACACATAACTCAGGGTTGGGCATGACTGTGGGCAGAGGTCCTAAGGACAGAGGGCACACCAGAGGCCCCTTCCTTCCACTCACCAGGGCCCATTCCTTCTGGGCTTCCCCTCATCAGGGCCACCAACTCTTCCTCACCATCAGGATGGGATGTTGGGCTGGGTCTTGGGGGATCTGTAGAGAGAATGGCATCATCATTAACCGTGATGGGGAAGGTCATCCCAATGCTTTGCCCTGCACACAGCTCCTGGGGTCAGATGCTACATTCTGGGGTCACCTGCCAGGACACTTCTGAGACTTAGGGTTCCCAGAGGTGGAGAAGAGGGACCTAGTCAGTCACCATCCAGAGGGTGAGAGGTGTGACAGCTGGGGCTGGGATCACAAAGAACCTGCAGCAGCTCTTGAGGACAAGCAGCCTGCCACATACTCAGCCACTCATGATTCACCCCTTCGTCATGGACCACACAGCCGAGGGTCCCAGAACCCAAGCGGACCTAAGCCCTGCCCCACAAACTCCTGAGGAAGGGAGCAGAGAGCCATAATCTGGGATACACGTGGCACAGTGGAGAAAGAGCTACTGCTGGCTTTGAAGATGAAGAGGCTGCATCTTGAGCAACACAGCCTCTAGGTGCTGGAACAGGGCAGGGCAAGTCTCCCCTTGGGCCCCCAGGAGGAACACAGCCTTGCTGCTAACACCTTGGTTCTTGCCCAGTTACACCCATTTCAAACTTCTGCAGAACTATAACATGAAGGGCAAGGGTTAAGCCACTGTTTTGCAGTATCTGTAACAGCAACAGTAGGAAACTAACATACTGCTCATGTATACACACAAGTGTGTCCGGGGGAGTCAGGTCAATGAATTTCTTACTGAAAGGCACTGCTATTGTGCCACGTCCCCAAGCTGCTTCCATCTGGAGGCATGTCCGGTGAAAAACTGCTGCAATGTGACAAAAGTCCATCAAACAAGAGATACCACAGCATGGCATCTTGATTTGGGGGGGGGGTACCGGGGATCGAACTCTGGTCCTTGTGCTTTTGAGGCAGGCAGCAGAAACACTGAGCTAAATGCCCGGCCCCTCTTTTTATTTTTATCATCTTTTGGAATACATTACTCTTCTATTTCTTGGAAAAGAAAAAAACTGTGGAACTAGATCGGGAGAGATGAGAAGAGACAAGTGCAGATGGGGAGATGAGGAGATGAGGGTTTGTTGGGGTTGTGGACCTACACAGATGCACACCTGGGGTGCGGCTGCTGCTTACTCTATGATAGTAGTCTGGATTTTGGTAAGGCAGAGCAGGCCACATGACTGCCCCCAATAAAAACCCTGGTCCCTGAGGGTCTGAAGAGCTTTCGTGTGGACAGTCACACCTCTGGGGGAATTAAGCACATCTCATGTAACTCTGCTGGAGAGGATCCTGGAAGCTTGTAACTGGCTTCCTTGAATTTCATGTGTCCTCTCCCTTCACCCACTGCTCTGAGTCTTTTCATTGTAGCAGTTTAAGGCTGCAAACACCACAGGCTATGTCCCACAAATGCTTCTAGTGAAGCGCCAAACCTAGGCGTGCTGTGGGGACCCTGACAAACTTGGGAAGGTGATTTCCCCTTTGAACCTCACATTCAGAATGATTTGCAAAAGAGGGGCAATTCAACCTCCTTGTGGGGTGACAAGAGCTGGTTTGTGACAGAGTAGCATCTGCCACTCAACCATTTATCCCCTTAGGAACCATTTGTTGAGGCTGTTACAGAAGGTATTGGGGACAGAGCAGTAAACAAACCAGGTCACAAGATCCCACTCCTAAGAAAGCCAGGAAGTTCTCACTCCAGTGATGAAATAAAATGGTTGGAACATGACGGAACTGTGAAGGTCTTGGGGAACAGGCTATGTGACTTGGGTCCTTGTAGGGTCCAAGTCTGATGTAACTTGCTTTAGGAACAGAGGAGTTAGTGGAAAACCACGGGCTTCCTGGCTGTGTGTAGGAAACTCATCAACAGTGCTCTTAAGGCAAGATGACATCTGCTGAAAACAATACAAAGAATGCAGGCATCTGGGTATAGGGAATGACCTGTTCCCCATTAACTTGTTCCCCATTTACTGACCTTGCTGTTCCATGAAAAGTACACTATCCTTACCCCTGTGCTTCTTGCTTGCTAATAAAAGTGGGTCGACTTGTTGAGCCTATCCACTAGAGGCAGGCTCCTCCTGGTCCCCTTGTACTTTGAAGATTGTCTCTGTCTCTCTTTACTCCCCATCGTTCCTCCTTACAGGTATCTAAGGTTCTGATCAACCCTTGACGGTGTATGTGTGCGTGTTGTAATGGGGTTGCAGTTCAGACCAATGTCTCTTGGCCTCAGCACTACTAACACTTGGGGATGGATTACTCCATTGCTAGGAGCTGGTCTGTGTGCTGTGCAAAGTGTGGCAGCCTTCCTGGCTCTACCCATGAGATGCTTGTAGCATCCCCATCCCTGGCATGACCATCTTAAATGTCTCTAGATGCTGCGAAAGTCTCCTGGAGGGTAGAGACAGCCAGCTAAGAGCCACAGGCCTGGGTAGTCATGATTTGGAGCTGAAAGTTCATCTTGTGGGTGACAGAGCACAGGTGATCCCCAAGAAGTGCAGTGCCTAGGCCTGAGTCAGGGTGACACTCACTCAGCATAGGGAGGTTCTGGTAGTTGTCCAGTGCTGTGTCCCAGAACAGGTCCCCCTGGTCCAGTCCTGGCTGCTCCCAATCCTCCAAGGTGAAATCCATGCCCATGTCGTGTGTTGCAAATTCCTGAAACAGTAACACTGTCAGTCACTTGGAGGGTGAGGCAGGGAAGAGCTTAACAGCCCAATTGAAGTGCCCTAGCTCTCAGTTTGCCAGGCCTTTGGCAAAAATCATCCTGTTCTCAGGCTCACAAAAACTCTGATATGTCAAAGCCAGGAAAGCCCTGTATTCTGTAGTAAGGAAAGAGTCTTAGGGTGTCAAACCATAGTCACACAGGTAGGTCTTAAACCCAGGTTTGCCTGGCCCTAAAATCCACTTATTTCCTTTGATTTTTAAGTGTTGGTTCAAGATTTTAATTTACATTATTATAGAAATTTTCAAACATACATACAAGGAGAGTGGCATGTGATTAACTACCATAGGCCCAGCACCCAGGGGTGACCTGAGTTTACTTGCGAATACTTTAGTATTAACAGTAACTCCTCAACATCACTGAACACCTAGACCACATTCAGTCTGTATACACATTAGTCTGAGGTCCCCACGGTGTTTTAGAGTCTTATCAGAGTTACAATCCAAGGAAGCCCATGCCAATGAGTACAGCTTCTGGGGGCACATGCCCACTCCACGTGACCAAGTCCACTGCAGGCTACATGATCACGGAAGGTGCATGTCTGCTGTCTGTCTAGCTTGTGGTGATGCTAACTTCCTTCATTTTGAAACGTTCTGACTGTTAGAACAGAAATTTAAATATTTGAGAAATACTTGAGAAAAAATGAGGCCTGCCTCCCCACCCTAACTCTAGGTGAAATACTGGCTGCTGGGCTGTTCCTTCCAGATTGCCACCCCTGTGTACATGGCACACAAAGGAATGAAAACCACATCTCTTTAGTCTTGGTTGAGGCTTAGCCCCACTACTGTGCCCTGTGGGTGGCCTCTTTGAGCCAGATTCCTGCTTCACTGGTGAAATGTGGCTGATGTATCCCATCTTATCACAAGTACTATGGGAAGTGACTGAAAGGCTGCCAATCGACCAGGTTTCCCATCTCTCTAGGATGGTGAGTTTTTCCCACCCTGTGCCCTGTGACCATTCAGAGTCTGGCTTAACCCCTAGGACCTTAGAAGACAACCTTCTTTGGAAAGAGTGTCTTAAAAAAAAAGAAAGATGGGCTGGGGATTTAGCTCAGTGGTTCCGCCGCCTGCCTCGTAAGCGGAAGGACGCGAGTTCGATCCCCCGTACGGAAAAAAAAAAAAAAAAAAAGAAAGATGGTCTTCACAGAGGTGACTGAGTTAAGATGAGGTCAGTAGGGTGGGCCCTAATTCAACACAACTGATGTCCCTATAAAAAGGAGAAGTGTCAGGATGAGTACAGTGGCACATGGCTGTAATCCTAGCATCCTAGCACTCAGGAGACTGAGGCAGGAGGATCACTGTGAGTTCAAGGCCAGCCTGAACTATGTAATGAGACCCTATCTAAAAAAAAAAAAAGACTCAAAGAAGATACAGTGAGAAGGCTGGGTGAAGGGTGAAGGCAAAGGCAAGAATTGGTTATGCTTCTACAAACCAAGGAATGAAAAGACGGCCAACAAAACACTGGAAGCTGGGAGACAGGCAGGGAACAGATTCTCCCTTATAGCCCTCAGAGGGAACCAACCCTACCAACACCTTGATCTTGGACTTCGAGCTCCCACACCTGTGAGACAATAAATTTGTGGTATTCAAGTCACTCAATTTGAGGTGCTTTGTTATAGCAGCCCTAGAAAACTACTACTGTCACCACACCTCCAATACTGTGAGTTTCATGAGGGCAGAGACCCCATCAGTTAGGTCCTTAGTGTAGGTCCAGTAGCCAGAATAAGGCCCACACAGTAGGCACACTTAATAAATACTTGTTAAGGCAAGGAAAGCACGCAATCTTAGAACCTGTTTGGGACCTTGAGAAGAGGAGTTAATTGAGGATGGAGCCAATTCTAAGTGGTATGAAGAGATGGGGATGACAAACTGAGTCCTGGTCACTGAGGTAGATGCAGCCAACACCATCTCTGGACATCTGATCATGTGATCCATACACAGTCTTTAGCACTTTAAGCCAGTTTGCATTAGAATTTTTATCTGTAGTTGAAATTGCTCCTACCTATTACCCTGCCCAGAGGGATGAGTTAAGATATTTTTTCGGGAGGGGTCAGATCACAGAGGGCCTTGAGGAGTTTCCCTCCGCTGCAACTACAAGACTATGTTGGACAAGGACCCTGGGAACCATGTGGAAGAAGTAGAAAGACAGGAGCAAAGACTTGAGAAAGCCACAGAAGGATTTTTTTTTTTTTTTTTGGTACCAGGGATCGAACTCGAGTCCTTGCGCTTGTGAGGCGGGTGACTGAGCTAAATCCCCGGCCCTTTACTTCACAGGATTTTATACAAGGAGAGTGACAAACCGGGGCAAACATTTCTCCTACATGCCTAACCCTACTGTAGGTGCTAGAGACACAGCATGTGTCAGACCTGGTCCTTGGCCTTAAGGAGCCTCTGATGGGCATCAAGGACAGAGAGGTACAGTTGTGACAGAGGCAATGGGGCTGTGTGAGCCAGGGGAGAGAGAGAAGAAGTTGCCTTGGGACCAAAGCAAGCTTCTTGGAGGGGAAGACATTCGAATTGGATCATTAAGGGAAGAGCAAGATAGAGAAAGGTTCTCATGCATGTATGCATTCATTCATTCATTCATTCATTCATTCAACAAACACCTCAAGAGGCTTGCCCTGTTCTGGGCCTGTGCTGGGCCTTGGCAACCCAGAGACGAATCTCAAACATTTCCTGTCTTGGAGGAGCATGTAATCTAACAATATGGGCAGGGACAACCACAGCTAAGTGAAACTGTTGAAGTGAAGTCAGTAGACAGTGGTAGGGAGGCACCAGAGTCGGGGATGAGCTTACTGAGTCATGGGGAGAGGGAGGGGACCAAGTTGGGTCTCAAGGACTGTGTAAGACATCACCTTAGAGAAGAGCAGCAGGACATTCAAGCAGAGGGTACAGCCTAGGCCAAGACAGGAAGCCTGGAAAATACAATGTAACATTTTCCACCAGGCCAATGAGAGAGAACTGGTTATCTGGAAAAACGGCAAAAGATGCGGCAGGTGTGGGCTGAACTCAGATTATGCAAGAATGGGCCAAGAAACCTACATTTTATCCTGTAAGCAATGGGGGTTCCTGAAGGATACTAAGCAGGATAATAACAGCATGAGAGCTTAACCTTTAAAAGACTGCCTGGAGCCATTAGGGTTTAAATACAAAATGTCTCTCCCCAGGGACTCCTACTTGGAGGGCTTGATCCCCAGTGCAGCACTGTTCAGAGAGATGGGGCCTAGAGAAGTGACTGGATCCTGAGGGCACTGACTTCATCAGAGGATTAATTCACTTATGAGTTCATAGCTGTGGGTTACTAGGAGGTGGGGCCCAGCTGGTTGCTGGGAGCAGGCCTTTGAACAGAATTGCTCATTCCTAGCCCTTCTGCACTGGATCTTTCCCTTCTGCTTGGCTTCCGGGGCTGCCACAAGGTGAGCAGCTCTGTTCCATCATACTCTCTTTACTGTGATTTATGTCTCACTTCAGGCCCAGAAACAAGGAAAACAAGCAAACATGGATCTCTGAAACTTGGTCAAAATAAACCTTTCCCATGGTGGCACATGCCTGTAGTTCCAGCACTCGGCAGGCTGAGACAGGAGGATCACTGTGAATTCGAGGCCAGCCTGGGCTACACAGTGAGTTCAAGGCCAGCCCAAACTATGTAGCGAGACTATCTCAAAAAACAAAAACCAGAAAAACACTAAAATAAACCTTTCTCTTTCAAGTTGTTTTTCTCAGGACTTTGGTCACAGTGATGAAAAGCTGATGAACACGGGAGATGCCATGGTATGGTGAGCTCAGGACAAAGAAAGGCTGGTTTTCCTTTGGTAGTGGTCAGTTAAGACGGAGAGACTTTGAACTCACCTCCATCATAGTTGCCTGTGCCCAGTGGCTTTTTTTAAGCTCCTCCTCCTTCTCTTCCATGTTCCTGCGTGGTAGAGCTGCACAAAGGGAGTTGTAAAAACGTCTTCCTTCCTCCTGTAGCTGACTCCTTGTCCATGCCAGATGAGCCCCCAAAATGTCCAGAAGTAGGAAGACAAGTTCCAACCTGAGTCTCCCTGTAGGAACCACAATTATATTTACTGAAACTACTCCAGTCCTACATTTCCATTTTGCTTTAGAATCTACAAAGCAACTTCACAACTGCTCTTAGCACTAACTGAATACACATTTGGGTGATATGGTAATGAAAGTCTATAGCATTGTTGGGGCCTTTGATTTTGCTCCCTGCCATATTTTAGCACAGTACCTACAGTATAGTAGTGTCTATAAAGTATCTGTTGATAGAATGAATGTGTCTCTGTCTGAACCAATGGATAACAGTCAGGTTTGGATGCCAAATTTAGAAAAAATATATTTGATTCTCAGTTTCAGGTTTTTGTTTATTGAGATTTTATAGGTGGTTGACCTATAACAGATGCTAACATTTACTGAACCATGTGGTTTCTCACAAAATAGAGATTAAGCCTCAACTGACAAGTATAATGCAGTTGACAGACATTTTATTTGGCCCACATAGTGTTGGCAGATAAAACATTATGAAATAATAAAGAAAAAATTATGAACGAAAATTCTTTAAGCAGGCCCCCACTTGAACATTGGGAAATTTCACCTAAACCAGCTTCTGAAACACTCTAGGACAATGCTGGTGAACCTATGGCACTCCTGGTGCAGCCAGTTGTTTATCACTGAAAACTCTAAAAGCCTCACCATCACTGTGCTAGGATTTGGCAACACTGGGTCTGCATTCCTGCAAACTGAGTTCACTGGTGCTGGAGGTAGGCCTTTCAGATAGGCCAACGGCCCCTTATCCCTCACCCGGCAGGTTCTCTCATCTTATATGCCTGGCCCTTACAGACACCTGAGTTTGAGACTCTGTCTATAGTTTCCAAATCACATTCTGTCCCCATTTCATGCACCCTCATGATATAGGAAATAAAATATGAAAATATCATACCTCCCAACCTGTTAGATGTCTGACATGCTGAGTTTGTGTTCTCTAAAAATTGAAGAATGAATTGTAGAACATGGAAGGTGAAAAGTAGGAAAATATTTATTGAGAGGATAGCTCCTGAGAAGCAGGAGGGGACCAGAATGGAGAGCTGGGGACCCCACGTTCCAGAGAAGTTTTATAGAGCAAAACCCACATGGTCGGTACAATGTGGGTTACAGCTATAATTAGCCAATAAGTTTACAAGTATAGTCGCATACATAATAATCCAATGAGGAAACAAGTTGCGTAACAAGTGTGCATGGAAAGAACAAAGATTTTCCTAAGAAATGACAGGTCTAGAGGTCTTGGATACCCATTGAGGTGACTGATGTCTATCTAGACTTCATTAGGCCCAGAGTTTGTCTTCTGAAGAGGTATGCAGGCCTGGTCTCCAACAGATGTGTCTCCAGCCACAGTTGTGATATGTTTCACCTTTGTCCTGACTCTTTCGAGGGCCTAGCCTGTGATATCTGACTGCCTGTAATATTTCTACCTGACTTAGCTGTCTATTGTTATGCCCAGATCGCGAAGTCCCCAAAGACCACCAAGGAGCCGATTCTGATGCAAACATACGAGGGTCGTTTATTCAAGCTCGAGCACGGGCTCACAACCATCACCGACGCAGCGGATCTGGATTGAGAGCCCCAAACTCCAAATCAGCAGAGTTTTTATTGCGGTTACAGCCAGTACAGCCAGGATAGGGGGTTTTCAGCTTGGCATCTCTTTTTTTGATTGGATGACATTTAGGTAGGGTACCTTGTCAATCTCCTATTGGTTGATTGTGTGGGGACAAACCACAAACGGTTGCATAAGCTATCTAAAGGAACATCTGGTAACTTGGGTAACTTGGGTACTTTCTTCCTATTTGCTGATTGGCTGTTTCCAGGGGGAGTTTGTTAGGGGCAGTTAGCCAAAGTACATCCTGTGGTTTTTCCTGGAACCAGGGTTCTGCACCCGGTCAGGTCTTCACAAGATGGAGGTCCTTTTTTAAAATGGAGTGGCTTAGGTTTCACGTTTCACATTCCCCCCTTCTCATGAGCCTGATGAGACCCAATCATGGGTCTCGAGGGGTCATTTCTAAGAAATCTCCCTCTGAAATAGGTCTGTACTGGGAGTGAAGGACCATGAGGCTAACAGCATTGACATGTTCCCGAACAAAAGTTACCAATCTATTGAGAACACAGGGACCAAAGGTCAGTAAGAGGAGCAAGATAATCAGCGGACCTGCTAGGGTGGAGATCAGAGCAGTGAACCAAGGTGACTGGTTGAACCAGGATTCAAACCAGCCCTGACTTTGTTCCTGCTCCCGTTTTCTTTTGGCTAAACCTTCTTGAACCTTGGCCATTGATTCTTTGACTACCCCTGAATGGTCAATGTAAAAACAACATTCTTCCTTAATGGCTGCACAGAGACCTCCCTGTTGTAAGAAAACTAGGTCTAGGCCTCATCTATTCTGCAAAACCACCTCAGCTAAGGAAGTCAGGGATTCCTGTAGGTGGGAAATAGAGGTTTCTGGTCTAGCTATGTCCATGTCTATGGCAGTCCTCAGTTCTTGGTAATGTCTATTTTGAAGTACCAGGGAAGAAACACCAGTACCAGCTCCAGCCAGCCCCAGCCCCAAAAGCATAGTCAAGGTGATGGCCGTAATGGGCTCCCTCTTGGTACGCCCTGGATCCCCAGACAGATGTCGGTAGAATTCATCGTCTGTGTGGTATAGCATTTTAGGAACCAGCTGTACCAGGACAGAGTAATCTTTAGACTGATTAAGTACTGAACCATGAACACAAGGAGTTAACCCTGTGGAACATGCCCACCAACCATCGGAAGGGGGAACCAAGTATTTTGATGTCCGTACCTGGACAGTCCTATTACATAGGTGTTGGTGGGTCTCAGGCATGTTGCCTATGCAGAGCCCTTGTCCTGCTACTGATTGCAGAGTCAAGTGGGCGGAACCTGCCTGTTGCCATCTACATTGAGTGGGTTGATCAGATTCATTGTAGCTTCCTTCAATGGCTATTCCTTCATAATAGGAGGGCTTAATATCATAACATAATCAACAGGATTGCATAAGGTCTGGTCTGGAAGCATTTAGGTCTTTGTAGGTCTGTCCCAACAGGGTTAAGAGGAGGTCCTCTTGTCTTGCGGGCATTCTAATAGTATTATCTTTAGGAAACAGGAGGATTGTCTCGGGGGCCCTTGTGGTCAGCTTTGGGACTGGGGGAGCAATAACTTGGTTGGGTCCGACTGGTTCGGCCCATTTTTGATATGACCATCTTACAGTAAAAAGAATGCCTTCATTGTACCCAGAAACGTAAAGGCGGAGGCCCCATGTACGGCCAGATTCCCAATTAGTTGTTGATTGCCCCTGTGGTAAAGTCTATTTTAAGGGGTATACAGTGAGTTTTATGGCAGACTGAAAAATCCTGTTGCCAGGTACCTCTAGTATAGTTCCTGGAAACTGATATAAGATCTTCTTTACCGGCCGGGTTTATCCAAGGGGCACTGGTCTCACATCCCCATGCAGCACAAAAATAGTCTCAGGACGTCCCGCAGCGCTGCCTCTGCTTGGAACTTCTGGTCCTGGGACAGACATAATAGTCTATCCTCCACAATCAAGTGCGGAGGCATCAGGCATGGCAGCCATATCCCGCTGAACAGTCATCTGTAGCCCTCTGCCCGGCCAAATCCGAGTCCCATCCATCCCCTGCAATAGAACAGAGATCTAGTATAAAAGTGGGTCACCAGGTCCCGGGAGGAGCATTTTTCTCCTGGGAATGTATGGTCCTACTGGTTTCTGGGTCCGAGATAGTCCATGTTGTGCACTGAGGCGCATGCGGGGTAGTAATGGTCCCCAAGAGAGGTAGGAAGAGAAAAATCAAGACCTGGTAAGTTTGAGTTTTAAGGGATTGTCGGCACTGTGGGAAACCTTCCATTGTGGCACGCAGTCCTCACGGACAAGCAAACGGGTCTGCAGGACAGACGTGGGTGTAATGTACCCAGGTGGCAACTCTGTCAACCTTGAGAGCAGTGGGAGTAGTCAGAACCACGATGTAGGGTCCCTTCCAGCGAGGCTCAAGGTTCCCCTGGCAGTGTCTCTTCACATACACCCAGTCACCAGGTCGGTAGCGGTGTGGTTCCAGGGGAGGTCCTGACTTGTACAGGGCTCTCAGTTTCAGCCAGATGTCCTTGTGAGCAAGGTGAAGGGCTCTTAGGGACATCAACAAGGAATGATCATCGAACTCAGCACTTCAGATTTGAGATTGGGAATAACGGGAGGGGGAACACCAAACATGATCTCAAAAGGGGTGAGTCCCAACTTGTAGGGGGAGTTGCGGACTCAATAAAGGGCATAGGGAAGGAGGGCCACCCAGTCCCCGCCAGTCTCTAAGGTCAATTTAGTTAAGGTCTCTTTTAGAGTCCTATTCATTCTTTCTACCTGTTCTGAACACTGGGGCCTATAAGCACAATGTAATTTCCAATCTGCCCCGAGTATATTGGCTAAACTCCGACTCACTTTGGACACAAAAGCTGGTCCGTTATCCGACCCTAACAAGGCAGGAAATCCATACCTCAGTAGCAGGTCTTCCAGGATCTTCTTGGCAACTATCTGTGCCGTCTCATGTTTCATGGGAAAAGCTTCCACCCATCCTGAAAAGGTGTCTATAAAGACTAACAAATACCTGTAACCATAGCGTCCAGGTTTTACCTCAGTGAAGTCCAGTTCCCAGTATGCACCAGGTTTGTCTCCTCGGAGCCGCTGTCCTGGGCGGCTATCATTTCTGGCGGCGTCAGTTAGCTGGCAGGCCTTGCAGTTGGTCACTATCTGTTCAATCTTGTGATAAGCGTCCTCGATCAGGATCTCAGCGTGGCGAAGCATCTTTTTGGTACCCATATGGGTGGCTCGGTGCATCTTGGAGAGGACCTGATTTCCCATTTCTTCCGGTAGGATAATTTTCCCATCGGCCGACCAACACCAGTTGTGGAGGCATTGGATCATGGGGAGTTGCTTAATCCATTTTAGATCTTCCTTAGTGTATTTGGGTTCATCCAGCAGGCGAGCATCAC